CTCTCTGGCTGCCTTGCTGGGATTCTGGCTCGTTTTTTCTCCTTCCGTGGTCGCTCTCCGGGCAAACCCCCCACCCCCGGCGCCCAGCTCTCTTTCCAGCAGTGTCTCCCAAGTTCAGCCTCCAACCGCCTCCACTGCAGCAGCCGCCGTCGCATTGCTTGTGGCTCTGATGCCCGTGTACGGCACCTGGCACAGCGTCAGGGGCTGCAGAAGGCAGGCAAGACTGGAGGGGGGGGAGATGGGAGTGGTGGTGCTTGACCGAAACCACCCTGGCCTCTACTACGGTGGGGGCAGCCTCTGGCACCACCAAGGCCCACTGCCCCGTGCGCAAAGGGCTCCCCCCCCCTTTGGGCTTGCCTGCGCTCTTTGGCTTGGGAGGGAAGAGAAGTGGGGAGGTGGGCTTGCGCTCAGGTCCCCTGCTTCGCACCTCTGGGGCTGTGTGGCCTCCTCTACCCAAGAGAGCTGGAACAGGCTGTCCTGGAATGGCTGGCCAGGGCGGGGAGGGGGGGGAGGTCAGGCTGAGCAAGCGGGAGGGCGGGCGAGCGGGCGGCCGGCCTTTGTTCTCTCTCGGTGACGATCAGCGATCAAAGGTGAGAGTCTGGCTGGCTAAGTGCAGGGGACTCTCCTCTCCTGCCGGGGCTGAAGGGCGGGGCGGGGAAGGGAAGTTAAGGCCCTCCGGATGCCTTGCTTCCCCCCCCCCGCCACGAGCCATCCCACGCCGCGGGTTCAGAGGGGTCCTGCAGCGTCTGGAGGGCCAAAGGTTCCCAAGCCCTCCTGGGGGCATTAGATGCGTGACCCCCTTGCATTGGGAGGCGCCCCGATCTTCAGGCGCTCCGCCTTCGCCCTTTCCCGCTGGCGATCCCCCTTGGAGTGGGACTGGCTTAAGGTCCTGCCGAAGGTTTCGTGAACCGGCGGGGGCTCGCACTGCCATCTCCCGAGTCCTCCTCCCCGCCTCTCTAGCCTGGCCATGCCACGCACCGACTCCCCCGTCTAGAGCACCCGCTTCCAAATAGGACTTGACTCTGGCAAGCGAGTTCGTGGCACGAGCGCCACCTCGCCCTCTTCGCGAGGGGAGGCAGGCGGGCCCTTTAAGAGTCTACTTCCGGGAATCGGCGCACGTGGCTGCAACCGCTGCTTTCCCCCCCCCTTCCCTGGCCGCGGCAGCAGCTCCGCGGGCGCGTGGGAGTCACGTGGGCGGGATGTGGAAACCGTTGATTGGCCCCGTCGGGGACTCTCGGGCAGCTTGGCCTCCGTCAGCCCTTAGTGGGGCGAAGGGCGGCCAAACTTCCTTAAAGGGACCGTCTGTCTGCGAGGCGGGTGGGCCTCGCTTCTCCCCCGCCCGGTCTCGCCCGGTTCCTCTGCTCGGGGCGAGGAAGAAGCGACGGCAGAACGAGCAGCCTCTTCAGCTGGCTCGGGTGGGGTGGGGCTGATCTAAGCCTACGGCGCGCGCCCCCCCACCCCCACCCCCAGGGCTACTTAAAGGCGACTCGCCCCCCTCTGGCGGGCGGTTGCCTCGCTGGGGAAGGGCGCCTCGGGGGCCAGGGGCCGGCAGGCCAGTGCCTGTAGGGGAAGCCAGGCCAGCTTGCTTTCTTTCTCGGGGTGGGGAGGGAATGGGACGTCGGGGAGAATTCCTCTCTAAAAGCCATCCTTTGTGCGGCATCTTTAGAAGAGCTTATATAGGCGGCAAAAACGCACCCACCCAAAACCGATTCATTCGCTCCCGTCCCCCTGTCTGTCCACGGGCTTCGGCCCTCCGGCTTTCCAGGGCTGCTCCGCGGACTTTCTCCTGCCCCCGCCCGCCGGTGCCATTCACCCCAGCTCTCCGCTGCCAGGGAGGGCCAGCCAGAAGGAAGGAAGGAAGGAGGGAACGAGCGAGAGCGGGCGGGCGGGCGCCTGGCCCTTTAAACAATCTGCACAGTCATCGTCTGCCCGGCCAGGATTGCCAAGTCACCGAGTTCAGATGAGTTCCCTCGGCCACGCCCCCGCGCCGGGCCGTGATTGGCGCGGCGCTGGGGCCAGCGGCACTTCCGATTGGCTCTTGCAGTTTGCAACAACTTCTCGGAATCTTACTTGCGTCACTGAGCTGGAAGTCTTAAAGGCGCAGTGCGCGCAAAGGGGGGGCGGAATGGGGCGCGATTCGCGCTCCCCCCCCAACCCGTAAAATTCCGGAACGAGAGGAAGCGGTGAAGTTTTTCCCATGGCGCTGACTTTTCCCTCGAAGGCCCATTTCCTCGGGCTTTCGGGGGAAGGGCGGGGGGGGGCGTGCAAGTCCTAGAGGTGCGCGGAGTCTTTGGGCGGGCGGAACGTGCCTCCCCTCCCTAGTCTCACCCTCTCTAGAAAATGCCAACTCACAGTGGCCCTGGGCATGCCGGGAGGGCGCCGCGGCGGGGGGGGGGGGGACAGGAACACCTGTGGTCCAAACTACACTTCCCAGGAGCCCCCTCCGGCAGGAGGCGGACTCTCCTCGCCATGGAGACGGGGGCTCCCTCTGCCAGCCAGACCCCGCCTTCGGGCCCGCTCCTGTCAATCAGGGCCGTCCCGGCCGGCGAGCGAGGGGCTGAATGGAACGGGGGCGGGGCTGGAGAGGCCCCTGCTGGGAGCTGATTGGCCCGGCCCGCCTGCCAATCGGAGGGCGGTGCGATGGGGCGGCAGGCGAGGCCGCCAGCTGATCAGAGGCAGCGGG